AGCGCACAAGTCATTTGAACAAACCATGTGTCATTTCAAATTCATTCAGTCTTGATTATTGGGACAAGTGACAGCCCCACTGGCAAAGCTGCCGATGTCTTGCTAAAAACATGTGATTTTGGTGGCACAATTGTCACTGGAAATGCCACATGTTGTTTGCCAGTCTCGATCAGTGGTCTGTAGTCGTCTGCATCTTGGCAGCCATCTCGGGAGGGGTCACGCCATCCACCATCCCCTTCACCTCAGCTCAGATATATGTAATCAGAACTACGCCTCTTTAGAAACGTTGATTTGATACGTATGAAACATAAATATGTCACAGATCTGCTGTTTGCAGAAATGTACAGTGCCATCATTTTCTTCTTGTGACGAGGCTGGTGGATTTAAGAATACACTCAGAGGGGCACACAACTGAAGGTGCAGCTCCCACCTTTGTCTAGCGTCTGCAAGAAAAGACTGACGTATTCACAGTAGGGAAAAAACAACATTGTACTTTATGTCTGATATACAGTCATCAGAAGCATTATCTTGTGACTAAGTGCCACCAGCGAACAATCCACACAGCTTCCCTGCTTTGCATTCATTTATCATGACCTCATTTCCTGAGTACATTTCAAGCCACTCAATATTTCATAAGAGTTATAAGAGAGATGTGTAATATTTACTATCTGGCACTGTGGGTGAGCGTTCCATATAAAAACAGAAATCCTGGCAGGAATTTAATCACAGCTCTTTTCTGTGACAAATAAAGTCACTGTTTTGATTTTTGTGATCATGGTTTCATATTTATTTTAACATTTAAAATGTATGTATGTGGTTCACATACAGTACAAAAGCAAAGTGATCTACTTAAAACTAATTTCAGATGTCTTTTCTCTTGCTAAGTGTTTGTATTGAATGTTGGTCACAAAAAGAAAACAGCACAAGAGATGGCCCGTGGATGATTGTGCTGGATCGGAAATGACTGGCTATGAGTTTTTATTTCCTCCAAACACTCACTAAGTCTACACGCAGACACACAAGCACACACTCATTATATCGTTGCTGTGCATACTTCCTCCTGGCTGATCATCATACAGCCCAATCCCCACACAACCTGCCTCAGGCCTCCCTGTCGGCCCATCCTCCCTTTGACAGAAACTGGCCCTAATCAGATCTCCCTCCTCCTGCTGCATGCGGCCATGTGTCCCGGAGCATCACCCGCCAGCCGAGACAGCACAATACCCATGGTGCTTCACGGGAGCACCTCTTGCTCACCTGGTCAGCAGGCGCACGTGCAGCGTCAAGATGACACAGCCATATGTTCATACCCTTTCGTTTCCCCGCTCCAGAAACATTCTCTATCACTTCATCTGAGGTGTCACTGAGAATTTCTGTCATTTTGACACTTTATCAACATAATTGAGGGAGCTGTCAGGTTGGCCCCAGAATCACCTTTCAGTGATGCGTGTGACCCGATTGATCCACCGCTTCATATGCATATTGACCCATGTACGCGGCGTGTTCAGGGGAGACACTTAGGCGCTCTGGTTGCCATGTAACATCAGGAATCAGCAGAGCAGAGCAGAAAGGCAGAGTATCACAGTTACACCATGTCCCATACACACAAGCTGTGTTGACACTTGCAAGACCAAGTCACCAGTGACAATACTGGTTTGTCTTTACGCCTGTAAATGTTACAAAACCAACAGTTCGCACTTGTTTGCTGCTCAGTCACGAAAAAGCCGGGCTTTCAAACAGTGTTTGTGTAGTTCTAACATGAATTTGGACACTTTTAATTTAATTCTGATTTACAATGAGCACTGATGAACACAGCTGGGAGCTGGCCATAAAGTGCCACAATTCCCACAGTGGCGGGGAGCAAGCCAATCTGCTGTTTGTTGGCACTCTTAACTAGCACCTGTCCTGGCAACAAAATGTTTAAAGGCAAATGCAATAAAAGTGCACATAATAATGATTTCCTTTATTATTGAATTTATGTGTTCAATTAATTAATTATTTCGTCCATAAATGGTCAGAAAATAGTGAAAAATGCAGATCAAATCCACCCCAGTCCAAAGTGATGTCTTTAAATATATATATATATTAGGGCTGTACCTAAATATTCGGATATTCGAATATTCGTTTCTATGGGTAGGTATTCGTTATGAAAATTTGGTATTTGATATTTTATTTACTTATGTTTTATTTTTTTTTTTTTAAATTTTACATATTTTTCTGGTGCTAAATGTAGTCTTTTTGTTGTTGGTAAATGTAGGTTATCAATAAAAATCAAAACTTTTAAACTGCATTGTTAAAAATGTGAAAATATAGTATAGCCTACCTGTGGATGTGGATCAATGCCAAGTTTTACCACTTTATCACTATTCCCTCTAACTTGTAGCTGTTTTTTCATTATCTTTTGAATTTAATTAAGCAATATCACAATCCAGGTCGTGATGTTGTACTGTGATATCTTCGGCACTCGGCCTGCGGCCTCGTACCTAAGACTGAATCACAGCCATGACGATATCACAGTACAACATCACGACCTGGAGTGTGATATTGCTTTTATACAACAGTTCAACAACAGTTAAAATAGCGATGCTGAGTAAGAAAATGTTGAAGAAAGGTGACAAAATAGATTATTTAAGCAATTTTCCTCGTTAATGTCACTTGAGCGCAGCAGTAGTTAGAATGTTGCCATGGCAACGCGTCAGCACTGATCAGCTGTTTGATGTGGAGTAATACATTCAGAGAGTAAACAAACCGTGATGTTGTACTCCAATATCGTCACGTTTTGAATGTCTCCTGGCCAATCAAATTGCTTCAAATTGCTTGACCGGAACTAACTGTTGTATAATATGAATTATGAAACTGTTTTTGTCAATGTTTGTTTCCCCCGTTTTGTACAATAAATTATTGTTTAAAGTTTCAACAAGTTTCTTCTGGAGTGCGTGACACAAGTGTGTTTTGAAAACGGCCGCGGACTGTCACCTGCTCAACGCATCAGTACCTTCGGATGCCATGACAGTAATAGCCAATAATGTCAAAATATCATTTACAGACCGATTTAACAGACGATCACTGCTGCCCGACCCGCAGGTCCATTTGCGGGTCCCGCTGGTTACAGGTCGGCCTGCGCATCACTACTCAGCTCAGTCTATAAAGGCTGTACACACAACAGTAAGGCTATAGACATTATATTCTATTCAGGCCGGCAGAACCAGCAGCGTATCGGCTCTACAGTGCATGACACTGCTAATTAACCATTTTATTGCAGCACAGAGTGTATGCCAGCAACCAATTACTTGCAAAGGCTTCCTACAACTTGTTTCAACGGTTCCGATTTAATCAGAAGACAAATTAAACAGGGTGACTAGCCAATGTGAAAATCAAAAGAAAGCATAGAATAATGTACTGAAGGAGACTGTTGTGCCATCATATTTTTTTGTGGTTTGAGAGCAAAGATCCAGTCGCCGCTGTGCAAAACTCTGCAATACAATTAGGTCCGAAAAAACCCCGGAGTCCGCCGTAGGATTTAGAGGACTATACTGGCATGAAATTTAATAAAAAAGGGACGTTCTTTTGTGTATAATCACATTAAAATAAGAATCAATGTTGGTTTTTTGTTACCTTAGAACAGAGTCCGCTATGTTGCACTGCCATGTTTCGACAGTAGTCCAGAGACTGACATTAATGTTTTCCCATTGGCCACCACAGTTGGAAAAACAATGATTTTCAATGTGGTTTTAATCACCTGGGGTGTCATTTATAAAACAATCGTAGGATCCATACTAAAAACGTACACATGGACAAAAGCAAAAAATGGCTTGTGCCAAAAAAAGTTGACAATTCTTAAATCAGGCTTCCATCTCACCCTCAGCATCGCCAATTTCCCGTCTCCAAAATGTTTGTAAGCATGGGTCAAAGTTTTGCCCATCAAGTCTCTTAAAGGCCTCATTTTGTGCGTAAGCAATGTTTCTAACTGAGACCCCTGTTCCGTTGGCATTACAGAGAAAGAGACCTCTGTGGACAATTTGGCTCCCGATAAAAAACTTCTGAGCAATGAACACTGACTGAATCCTTACTGGGAGTTCACACTTGTCACATGGGAGAAGTTTCAGCTGATTGCCACTAATTCCTACAAACTGCCTCTTAAATCAATCAATTTGCTGAATATTTTCTGGCGATTAGCTAATCAATTAACTGACTGTCCCAGCATTAAAATAAGGCCGCAACTAACTGGTTATAAATTATCAGGTAATATTGAAAAATGGTGACATGTTCAGATTGCTCATTTTATCCATCTGACAGTCCGAACGAAAGATATTTAATTTACAACTGCATACATTAGCTTTGTCTCTACCATTACACTGATAATACTGTTATTATTAACAGTAGTCTGGGTGTTTTCATTTTACTTTGCTTCCATTGACTTAATACTTCAAGCCATGTGTATGAGCCATACAGTTTTCCCTTCATACAATATAGCAGTTAATTTGTGCGTTTGACACAAAGTCGCTCCTGTTTGTTTGTTTGTACAGTGAGTATCTGATATGAAAATTGCAGCACATTCCTTGTCGGTGGAACAACCTCTAGAGTTGAGAGAGACGAGAATAGATTATCACAAGGATGCTAATAAATGAAAGGACAAGAATAGAGCGCTAGATTGTGTTTGCAAGAGAGAGTGGGGATTTAAAAGGCATTAAAACGCAGGGCGATTTAACTCATGAGGGAAGTTGAGCGGAGAACTAACAGGAAGTCTCTTCCCTCAAGAGGAAACCAAGTCTTGTTACTGTAAAAGCAACTGACCTTGTGGCTTCTGTCGGGAAGGAATGCATGCAGAGGAGACAGACAGAGAGATAAACAGGAGCTCGTACAGTGCAGAGGATCACCCTCTGGTGTACACACACAAGCTCCCTCTCCCTCCCTCTCTCACTTTCTCTCTCACTCGCCCACTTACTCAGTATCGTTTCATCTGTCTCTCTCCCTCCCTCTCTCTCTCTCTCACACACTCAGTCGCCGTGCTCTGACGGATGGGGATACACTGCCAAGGCGGACTTAGGGGCGAAAAGAGAAGTGTTTCTTTTCTTCTCTGGTGTGTTTTCTTTCTCTTCCGCCTGGCTTCCCTCATGAGCTGTTAATTCTAGCCCCGGTCCCGAGGATGAGGAGGATCTATTTGTGAGGAAGGCGCGACAAAGGAAGAGGAAACAAGGAGCAACAGGGTGGTAAATTCTGCGAGCGGGAGTCAGCGAGAAGACCTTTTCTTTTTCTCCAGGCTCGAGCAAAGGTTAGTGAGGAAAGCTGCTTATGATTAAAACAAACACTGCCTGCTGTTCTTTACTATCTCTAACAAGACATTTCATATTCATGTGTGTCTATTAAGGCTTAAATTAAATATCCTCACAGAGCAGTCTCCTAAATTGAGAACAGTTCTTAAAATTAAAAGTCCCTTAGTTAAATTTCTTTTTCATAAAGCAGGTCCCCAGGTTGGTTACTTAAGTTTCACTCTTGGTCAACACAACTGTAATTTCCCAAAGGTGTACAGTATTGTTCCCAGGTGGAGTCTGTCCTTTGGTGAGCAGCGAGTGAGCTGCAGGAAAAGGCGAGGACAGCTCGCTCTCCTCAGCCGTCACTTTACACAGGAGGCAATTAAGCAGAATTGGCAGCCGACGCTGCCGGTAACTTGGAAACAGGCGTGTGGGAGATGCATGGTGGCACATGATAGGATTTAGGGGGAGAGAGGAGCAGAGGAGGAAGGAGATTCCCTTTGTTCATTCACACAAAAGCCTGCTCCTCTGTGAAAAACCCTGCTTTCGCCTGTGTGTCTGTGTGAAAACTGGCCCAGGGGCAGCAGTTGTGAGGTTTTATGATTTTGCATGACAGCGAACATCGCTCAGAATGTGTGTGTGCTGCGAGTGCATGTGCATATAAAGTGTGTTAGTGTGCTATGAGTGCGGCTGCAGAGTGTGTTCATGCATGCACATGGACAATGCATCTCTTGGGTGTGCATTGGAGGTAGTGAGTCTCTAAGGTGAGTCCTCACGTAACACAAGTGGAAGAAATTTTTCACAGACCAGGAGAAATTCATAAAAACATTACGGCCCATATTGTGATTCCATGTTGTGATGAACCATTGTATAATTTCTGTAATAAATGGATGAGCAGTTGTGTGCGCCATGAATGAGCTCCCTAAGGACTCTGCCTTTGTTCAGGCGGTATGTACTTACAGCATGTGCTCGAAAATTTCTCCTTGAAACCAATAAAGACCTATTCTGCACACCATTTGTCACAAAGCCTTCTCGCAGCCGTTTTTCAGCGTGGTTAAGATAAGTGTGCCTGGAGACGCTGAGGTTGGCCTCTGGCTCCTGGGAACAAAGGCCTCTGACGCAGGTTGATGAACGGGGAAGTTTTTTAAAAAGTCCCTGTTGGATAAGGGGAACAGTTTGATTAAAAATGTATTAAAGAAAAGGACAGGGAATGGAGAGTATGGTGCTCTCAGTGTAAACACAGGTAGAGGCACGTAGGACAATTAGTCTGAACTGTGTGTGTTTTGACACAAAAGGATAGATACTACATAAGCCTGAGCTCTACTGTCCATTCATTTCAGTGACAGTAGAGTGTTGGTCTGTATTCAGCAGGATGTGTTTATACAATGACCCCTAAAATGAAAAATTGGCTCTTAAGAAGGATCATTCAGCAGCAGATTAGTGTGGTGACCATCCTTATTTAGTGTTTGGTCTGGACTTTATGTTCCTGTCATGTAATCTCAGCCACCTCCACAGCAGTGACCGAACATAAGCGAGGTCAGGACAGTTGGTTCTGGCCATCAGTCATTAGCGGAGGGTTGTTTCCTGTGTCACCTTGTCTCTCACACACCCAGCACTGCCTCACAGGGGCAGTTATGGGGAGTCCATCAGTGGCTCACTGACTTTCCCTACTAGGAGGAGTCATTGACATTGAGAGGGTGTTAATGTCTCCTTGGTGCACACATTGACTCACACGCACAGTATACACACTCACACACCCTCCTCGTCCTTAGGCATATGCAATGATACACACATGCATGTACAAAAGGCAGACTCACACTCACACCAGGGGAGGTGGAGTAGGGAGAAGCGTCGTGACCAGTGGCTTGGCAGAAGCCCTCAAGGTGAAAAATTTTGAGTGAGGAGCATTTCAAATTCAGAACAGATGATCAAACTGGTGTCGTAACTGCAGAGTAGCTGGCGGCACCAGATGCAGACAATCTTTTGGCAGAGGAAGAGTTTTTGGTGTCTGAATCTCAAACATAAAAGTCAGCGGCGAGGAGACGAAATTAATACAACTGTGGTATCGTCATCTCACGGACGGTGGTTCTTATCATGGTTCAGATGAGGCACAAAAAAAAAAAAAAACCTCTCAGCTATACCGAGCGGAGTGGCATTTTCTGTCACTGCACACATATCATAATCCAGGCGTATATCTAGACGTATCAGAGTGCAGACAGAGTAGGTTATTTAGGAGAGGGCACAAGCTGAAACTGTATTTCAGAGTCTAGTGTCCCCGCTTTATCACACACAAACAGAAGACAGTTTTGACTTGATATTGAATATTCTGTCAGGCAAGTAACTGTATATTCCCAAAATTCTCAAACTAATATACTAACAGATACTAACAGAGATTTATTGCCTACCATCCTGCTTAATCTGTATGAACCTTGAGGAAAAACAAAGCTACTGGAACCTAGCTCTTTATCTCTTATGTACAGCTACACAACAGTTTCACCAAGCATTTCACAATCTATTATTTTTAGCTCAGTAATAACTCTTATATAAACATTGTCTTTTGTCTTCCACCCACTGAAATCTGAGAACAGATACATATATTTTGAATTTGCAGAGAACATTGAAAGCCTCACCTCTGCCATACCTTTAAATGGCCACAGGGGGCAGACAGGCTAAACATAATGAACAAATATCAAAGGCTGTTTTCACACCAGATTTGTTTGAGTCACTTTGATTGCCTCCCCTCCCTCCAACCGTTTGCTAAGTGTGTTTGCTGAAGCACTTTTACTGCTGTTCTGACCTGTGGTTCATTTGCTTCTCTTATCAAAGTGCAGCTGCAGACCACATCAGCACCTATTTGACCTTTATTGGTAAAATAGAGAGCAATCTACAGGTGGACGGGGCCACATGAGCCTAGCTTAAGTAAGCACAACCACATGCACAGGTCACAAAGAATAAAAACACAAGACTCTTTTATGAAGTAAGTTACCATTAATGCTGCAACAAATCATTATTGCTGAACCTGTTGATTATTTTTTGACATTAATAAATTCATTGTTTTGTCCAAAAAATGTCACAATTTTCTAAAGCTTAAGATGAGGTATTCAAATAGCTTCTTTTGTCTATGCCATAAACCGAAAGATATTCAGCTAACCATCATGTAAAACGGGAAAACCAACAAATCCTTACAAGCCGATGTTTGATATTTATGCGCATTAAGTGCTGATCAGTCAGTACAAACAATTGACTAATCAATGATTCAACTGTCAGCACTAATTGTCATATGATATAAAGTTGGGCTTGGATGCTACACATTTATCTTATGTCTTTGCCTGTTTCCCTGCTAACAATTTAAAAATGTAACTGATGATGTTAGCATGGTATAACCTAGAGGTTGACAGAAAGGCTAATTAATTAACAATAGTTTAGAACAGAAAACAGCCAATAGCTGATCAGTTGGCCAATATCATCACCCCACACCCATGGAAAGAAAACTGAATGTCTGAACGTCTAAGTCAAAGTAATAAATAAGAAAATAACTAAATGAATCTGGAACTGAACATCAAGCTAAAAGTAAAAAATGTAGGTTGAAGTGATTCTTGGTGATTCATTTTCCTCAAAGTCAACCTGAGATTTTCAGGAACACAATAAAATTATCATGACTTTGTGTTTAACTAATGTCAGACCACTAAGTTCAGGTGGAATCGAGCACAGTGCCTTGGTTTGGTTTGGAAAAAGTATTTCTTGTACAAAATGTTTATGTGAATAGCTGCAAGATTTGGAATAAACTGCCACTGTGAAAGCCCCTGAAGACACTGAAATATTTCCTGGAATGTTTGAAGGCTTGCATGCATACATCAGTTTGCACATCTGAACAGAACAAAGGCTTTTATCTGACTTTACGAGTACACTGGATCCTCTCATCCTCTGCTCGCCCCCCTCCAAAAAATCCTATTGAACAGTTTCCAACTGAGAGTATAACTGATTAATAACGCCAACATCGGCAATGGCAGCCAAATAATTACATTCTCCGACCCAAAATAAACATCAGCGTGTTAGATGCTCGGTGTGCACAGAAGTGTCTTGTTTTCCGATCTGTGGTGCAGAAAACTCGGCATTCGTTTGGTTTTTCTGGCCTGTCATCCTGATATCTCTCTCCTCAGGGTTCACACCGAGTTCCCCTGCCCTGAGCTTGGCTCTGTATGTGTGTATGTGGGCGGATGTACAGTATGTGGTTTTTCAAACATGTGTTTTAATTTGCGTTGATCTCCGTTTGCTTGTTAGAAAGAAAGAGTTAGAAAGAGTGAGTTAAAGTATGCATGTGCATGAGTTTAAAGCTGTGTGGGTGAGAATGGGTGTGTGTGTGTGTGTGTGTGTGTGAGTGAGAGAGAGAGGGAGAGGCTGACAGAAGCAGGTTTATGATGAAACATTGACGTTGCCTTTGATGCCGGCATCTCCTCCATATCAGATTCCACCAAACAGATGATAATCTAGTAGAGGCCTGTAGAGCGAATCACACACACACACACAAATAACCCTACACACACACACACACATTTTCCCTACTCATCAGCTGTAAGCACTCACCCTCCCTCCATGTGGCCCCGTGTACTTCAATGCTGTAACCATTAGACGCCAGAGGCAGAGAGCCAGCCAGCACTTTGTGCCATTATACTGTCAATGCTCATATCAGTAGCCCGCTCCACATGCATCTATGCGTCCTGACCCCTTTGGGCGTACCGTAACACTTCTGTAACAGCCACGCGAGGCAAAACTCCCTGCTTGTTTGCAGCTGATAAAACAGCCCATTTAATGTTTTAAAATCTAAATGTCAATATGTCAGAGTGCATTTATTTTCCTCCTCAATTTGTGTATGTACATTGTTTTGAGCTTTGCTGCTGTGCTATTTTGGGGGATTTTTTTTTTTTTAATTTTAATTTTTTTTATTAGCGTCAGGAAGGCATTTCCTCCTTTTGTGCAACGACTGAAATGAGAGGCTGAAGGAATAATCAAATAACGAACA